GGGGGAGGGGGGGACACACAGACAGGGCTCGGTCACGATAATGACTGCGGGACCCTGGCGACAGAGAGCCCAGGAGCCCCCGCCGCCGCCTCCCCCGTCCCGGGGGTTTAAGCAAATTGCTTTGACATCCAGGAAAGTCGTAGACATCAACGGTGAACGATCTAATGGGGTTTAATTTCATTACGGCGACTCTAATTGAGAGACTCCCGGTGCAACCCCTCCTTTCCTCATCTGAAGTCCCTCATTGTCCCCTCGGTGCCTTCGGGTTCTTTAGAGGGACTTTTCTCCGGAGCCGCCTGGTCTCAGCAGGGGATGCTTGGCCCTGGCGTGTCCCCTCTTCCCTGGCTCTTCCCGGGAATGCTCCCCAAAACCAGCCCGGGGGGTGGGAAAGATCCTCCCCGAGCTGCTCAACTGCGGGGACCCTTTTTCCCCTCCTTTTTCCTGGGAGAGATGGGGAAGAACTGGATCCCTGGGAAGCTTGAAAAGCTCTTTTCTCCCAGCTCAAGGCAAAAATTAAAATAAAAATGTATAACAAATAAAATATCAACACCCCCCCACACACACACGCACTGGAGAGCTCGTTAAAAAGATGCTGAGCTTTGGGGTGGGCTGGGGGTTCTGCCCTGCAAGTTCCCCCCTCCCAGCTTCTTAACGACCAGATGGGCCGGGATTTAATAGCCCAAAATTAATCATTGAAAAGAGAAAATAAAAAATAGAAAACCTTGGGAGAATTAAAGAAAAAAAAAAGTGTTGAAATGAGACTGGAGAAAAATAAGCTCTTGGAAAGGGATGGAGGGATCTTGGATTCACAGAGCAGCTTAAGTCATTATATATATAATTTTTTATAGATATATAGATGTTATTCATACATGCACATATATCTGTATTTGCTCAGAGGAAAAGGCACCTTTGGAGACCTTCGAAGGAGGCCTGGTCTTGGCTGCAGAATTCACACAAGTTTTCACTGCCCCTCGAGTCCAGCAAAGACCTTTTTATTGTCCGAGGAGCTCGAGAGAGATTTCAATTTCGTCTTTTTTTTTTTTTTTAATTGTCTTTAATTATTGTTGCCTCTTTTTTTTTTTGGTTCCATGTGGTTTTTAGGCCCCACTCCCTCCACTCGTTAGGGCCGATTGGTTTTACCTGTTGGCCAAATTCGTGGAGGTAACGAGCAGATTTGAAGGCTCCCGATGGAATTCAACCCAGGTAGATGAATATTCCATGAAACCAGGTGCGTTTCGCCCACTCGTGGGCTCCATCCCCCCGGGGACTGTGAGCAGTTCCCACCCAACGATGCTGAACAGCCCCTTTTTCAGCTTGATGCTTTCATTTTTGGGGGGGGATGCCTTTCATTTGGGTTCATCCCACCCTCTCAGGGAGGGGAAATAAGTCCCTGTCCTCACAACGGATTTGGGGATGGGTGACATGGCCATCACCTCGGTGGCAGTGGAAACCACGCGTGGGTGTGGGACAGGGCTGTGAGCACCCGTGGGACCCCCAGCAGCCTTTCCGTGGGTGCGGTGCCCCTCTCCCCCCCTCCCCCCGCTCAGGTACTTACATGTCCGAAGGGGTCGAGGTGGTTGTTGGTGAGTTTGAGCTTCTGGAAGGAAACCAGCTGCCTCATCCAGTGGGCACCGGTGGCTGGAGAGTCGGGATGCACGTAGAGACGCCCTGGCATGGCCGGCTCTGCCTTCCCGGTCACAGACCTGCGGGGACAGGGACACGGGCACTGAGCTCCGGGCAGGGAACCACCTCCTGGGCTCCTGCTCCCCCACATCCCCTCCCGTGGGCTCCTGCATCCCAATCCATCTCCCGTGGGCTCCTGCATCCCAATCCATCCCCTCCCGTGGGCTCCTGCATCCCAATCCATCCCCTCCCGTGGGCTCCTGCATCCCAATCCATCACCT